ACCCTCGAGATCAAGTCCAACCACAAACCTATCACCACCATGCCTGTTCAACACCGTGTCCCTAAATGCTTCATCTACATGTTTCTTGAACACTACTGGGGTTGGTGACCCTGCCACTCCCTGAGCAGCTTGTTCCAATACTTCATCAGTCTTTCCATGTAGAAGTTTTTCCTAACATCTAACCTGAACTTCCTCTGGCACAACTTCAGGCCATTTTCTCTTGTCCTGTCGGTAGTTATTTTGAAGATAAAACTGGCCCCTGACTCACTACAACCTCCTTTCAGGTACGGAGCGATGAGGTCTCCCCTGGGCCACCTCTTCTCCAGACTAAATAACCCCAGCTCCCTCAGATGCTCCTCGTAAGGTTTGTGCTCCAGCCCCTTCACCAGCTTCCTTGTGCTTCTTTGGACACCCATATACAGGCAGTTCAGACACATACCATGCAGTTAATTTGCATGTATGGAGCTGCCACATGCTCAGGATTGCTATATATCCCAAAACCTCAGGCTTATGGCCAAAGCCATCACAAAAGGGACATATCTGGGGAACATGACATATTTTAAGTCCAGGCATGTGTGCTGTGGATCTGAGACAGCCTCATGAATATCAAAAGCTTAGATTCAGAACACATATGATAAATTTATAAAACCAAATTCTGCTACTACTAGGACAGGTCTATGTCCAGAAAACAAATGCAGTACTGTGCAATGGAAGCAAAATACTATTTTGGAAGAAGGAAACTAGTACTAGCAATGCACTCTGTCAAGTTGCATGCCCAATGGCTGCTAGGTTCTTAGCAGTCCTGCCAGAAATTGATGTTGGTGAAGTCAAAACTGACAGAGAAGGGTTCTACCATCTATGCAACACTTCAGCAAAAGAAAAAATAATTTAAAGGAGTGGTGAACATTAGAATAAAAGCTAGTCTAAGAGATAATTTTGAACTAAACATCAGTTCTCTGAGGTCTTACTAAAAGCCATTAAATGACCAAGCGGAGGTGTTTCTAACATTTATTTCAAGATTATTTTTTACAACACTATTGAAAAGAAATGTATTTTACCACTTGAGTATCATTATCATCCTGGTAATATGCTGGTTAACTTACTTTCACACTTGCTTGCTTAATTTACTTTCACATTCTCTTGACTGCATTTTGGCAGCTGCTGCTCCTGGAAATCCACCCTATAATTAGGCCTTGTCTCCTGCTGCTAATTAGAGACTAACGTTTCACAAGGACAAAAATATTCATTTCCTTCTACTGAGTGATCTCTCAAATATCTTTTTCTACTATTCCTAACACAACCATCTATAACTTCAACTCTTCCTTCCCATTATCCCAATAAATCACGAAGAATTATTGTACATTATACAGAAATAGTCAAGTTATTAAAAGTGCAAGAACAGTTAAATCTCGATATTGATTCAAAGACTTAAAAAGGCCAGTGCTTAAAACAGGGTACTTAAAACAAAAAAGCCTATAGGTAACTTCAGAAGCTTCTAAAGTCATTTATTTTTAAATGTATAGAGAAGGAAAAAAATAGCTATATCTTTTCTATTTGTAGGTTCATCTAGATGAATATTCTCTCTAACTCTTCCAGACCCAAACATGCAGAGAGAGAAGGCATTGGTGTAACTACAGAACACTCTTGATTGCTTATATACCTGGCTGTATGTTTAGGGACTTTAACATCCCATACTTAAATCTCCTTATCTGTCTTCTACAAGTATCTAGAATTATTTTTTCCAAGTGTTTATTTTAAATAACAAAAATATAAATCTGAAGCAAGAAAATTCACAATAATGCAGGGCCTTTCTTCCTCACTTTATATGCCACCATCTGTGAACAGTTAAGAGTTGATATGCTTGCACCATACATGCAGTCTAAAGTGCCGATTAGAAATATCTGGCTTAAAAGTTTTTCCATTAAAAATGTTTTTATCAATACAGAAAATTGAAATGGTTTTGTCCATTGATATTATTCAAGGCAGACACATACTTTCTTCTTGCCCTATTTCAGAGCTAACATAAGATGAAAGAATTTATTAACAATAATTACAAAAAAGCACACAGGTTCCTTAGGATGGGTCTAAGCTCTAAACACCTACAAATACACCAAATAAGTTGAAGTGTAGTGGTAGAATCAATGGTCCTTAGGATTACCCAAGAAAGAGCAAAGCATTTAACCAACCATACTATTAAGCAGATGTTCCTGTGAGGTAACTCATTAAGAACAAAATAGAAATTAAGCTATTTGAGGATAAGAAAGAAAGGAAAAGAATTTTTAAATCTAAGAATACCACAGAAATCAGTGTTTGGAAACATCCCACAAAAGTTATGTTCTTTCATAAGCAATTGTTCTTTCCATTTTCTAGTTGAAGAAAGATGCTGCTTCTGCTCCAAGAGGTATTTCTCAATTCTGATCCAGTGCCAACTAACGGCTGACCATTCAACTACAGATGGCAATGACAGAAAAGTTCAAGTTATTTAAGCACCAAGAGGAAAGTCTCTTGCTATGCATGTCTCTTCCTTCCTGAAATAAACATGCACTCTCAGGCATAAACATTTTAAGAACAAAACTCCCCTCCTACCTTTTTCCATAACTCTGTCAAGTAGCCGCTAACAAAATTTTCATCCATCTTTGGATGTGATCAATCTTCAGTCAACCTAGAAGCTGCAGTATTCCATGTAAAGCAAAAAAAAAAAAAAAAAAAAAAAAAAAAAAGTCCCTTTTCTTCATGGGTGCTCATGTTTCCTTGAAGTCTAAAGAAATATTTACGTTATTTATGAATAACTTAGACACTTTCAAACAAAAATTGAGTAATCCATCCAGCTACCACTGTCATATTTGTACTTTTGACTTCAAAGAGGATCTTTTTATTTTCACAAGTACAAAGTTAAAAAGCACATATCAATGAAGACAACTATTTTTACTTCCTAATAACACTGACATTGAATACTCTCCTTAAAGACACCTTTGTTTTGAAAAGACTTGAAACAAAGCCATTTTGAATAAAGCCTGGGTTTATTTTAGAAAAATCTTGAGTTTCCCAGCGTGTTCTAATGTAAAGGCAACATTTTTGCTGAAAAAGCTGCAGCCAAAAATTCATCAATTACACATTTATGAACTGCCTCATATTGGGGAAAGAGAGGTATACACAGCTTCCGAAAAGACACAAGTGGCCTTCTCTCTATATCTTTGTAGAAGTGAAAGAAATGCAGCTCATCAGAAAGTGGTAAGCTTAGCTATCAATGCTGAAATTCAATATACATGGGTTTATATTTGCCTACCCAGCTTTATATGGCAGTCCTTCACATTACGTAAGGCCTTAAAGGTTCAAAGCCCAGTCCCTTCTGATACCAGTTATTCAGCATTCATTTTTAGAAAACAGGTTTTCTGTGACTAATCCTCAGGAACAGCAGCAGATGGTTTCACAGTCAATTGCTAGATATGCAAGCCTTGCAGCAATAAAAAGATTAGGTTCCCTAACAGGTTCTGGAGAACACTACCTTATAAGACGATCTTAAGTCATCAAATGACAGAACACTCCCGCTTTATCCTTTCCAGTTTAGTAGTATCACAACTGGTTAAACTACAGTCTTAACACCACAGAATAGAAGCAGACTTCCATTCTATGTTCATATTGAGAGGTTCCCTGTTGAATCACAGTCACAGGAATAGAAGCAAGGTACAGAACACTTAAAAACATTTTTGTTAGTTTTGATCAGGGTTACAATTAAGTACAGGTACCTGCTTAAGGAAACAATGTCAACCTCTTCCTCATCAAAATTCAAGTCTCTGCTCCAAGAGAGAGGAAAAAGTGTAGTTGAGGTTCCAATCCAACACCTAACTACTAAATTTCGTGCAGTTGGAAGCAATTTAAGCTTGTCCTTAACAGTTGTGGTTCTTTCAAGCAGGGTCAGGAAAGCACTGATCCATAATTAGCCTTTTGCAAGTACAAGGTACTCTTTCACCAAATGGCCTGTTTTTTTTTGAAAAAGCAGAAGTATGAGCTGGGCAAGGCTTTGTAGAGTGATATTAACAGATTCTGCCCCTGCCTCCACCCCCCACCAAAGGAAGTATAGATGAAATAGAGTTCTATACAGGAGCCTTTAATAACTTTTATTTACAGGCTTAAATTATATAAACAGAGAAAAATTTGCAAATTATAAACATAAGCCAGATAAGCACATAGAGTAACACTACAAACATCCCAGTGCGGAAAGAAAACAGTGCTAACAGTAATATAAACAATCACCAAGCATCCCAACTTGCCTTTACCCTCCGATTTTACTATCCTACAATGACTGCAATCAACAGGATTCTAGGGAGGAAACAATTTACCATACTGATAAGATCACTTTTTAACATAGAGACCATTATTTCAGTTATGTCTGCATTAGGTTATTCATCTTGCTTTATAGGCAAGACTTGGCTACTTTGTACAGTACTTTTTAGTAGAGGTCTCAACACTTACAGAAATTCTTACTAACTACTCTTGTGAGGCAGGCACACTTTACAAATGCAGAAGTAACTTGTCCAGCATCTCACAGCTCTTTAGTAGCAGAGCCAGGAACTAAATCAAACTTTCACACTGGACAGTGGTCAAGTTATACTACTGAATTCAAAAAACTTCATCTTTTAAAAAATATTTATTACAATATAGCATTTGGTAATGAAACAAGAATATGATACATCTCATTTTTTCAAGTACCATTCTCCCCCACTCCTACTCCCCCACTCTTACAATTGGAAAAAGAAAAAAGGGCTAATGGTAAAAACTTTAATATGCACTGCAGAACCATATATGCAAGTGACTGAACAGAAGCATTATTTTTCATAAAGAACATTTGTGCTATTTCTCCAGTGTCAACTTACAGCAGGTACTATGACCATGCAAGTTGTATATTATTTTAAGGTGGTATTAGCAATTCTCCAGTTTTTCAGTGGAGTGCCAATAACTCCAGTCAATCCCATTAATTACTAAACCTTCCTGACCTTGTATGGTGATTATCTAAAAATCACTTCCCTTCTAAAGGCTCTTAAAACATTTTTGAAGTTGCAAATTCAGCACTCACATCCACTAAATGAGAGTCTTGATTAAGACAAACACAGTTTATTTCAGGCTTTAATATATTTTCCTTATCAAGTTTTATAACAAAGTGACTAACTCCTGTATTGGGACTCACAGAAGACAGCTGAGACTTTGTAAAAGCTGTTGGCAAAGTACATTTAAGATCTGAAAAAAAATAGACAAACCAGTTTCTCATGTATGCCCCATGACTCACCACTAATATATTGGCATCTAATTGTTTAGAAGCTCCACTGTTACCAGAGTCAAGTTCTGGTTCATCACAGTGGTCTGCCCAGGGGAAAACTGACTGTACTTCAGATCTTCGTAAGCTGTTGCTTGCTGCACTATGTGTCACTTGTTTGTTCTGTCCTGCTTCAACAGCTAGCTGACACAGAAATTCAAAGAAATCCCTTGCACGTTCTCTCACCTAAAGAGAAAAGTCAGAAGATTGCATTGTGAGGACTGTAAGATTTTTAGCTTTCAGGAAAAACAGCTACTTCAGTTAACATAAATATTTATCTGAAACAAGTCTCAAATAAACGGTAAACTACTTGATGGTGTGAACATAAGGTAACTTCTCTGCCTTTGAAATTCAGGGGTAAGAGTAACTGCCATTATCCTTCAGCAGATGGAAGAAAGCTTGATGGGAAATCAATTTCAGAATTAATGTTCTAGCACTAAAGAGTTTCCCCACTTGGCAAGTCATGCAGTCAAGCCAAGGGGTTCTTTTATCCTGGAAAATAACTTCCTTTGATTAGAATAAGCTTAAATTAAATAAGCAAGACCTGCATTTGCACCTATTAAGTAGCCTGGAAACTAGGACACACTAAATACCATACTTCATTCAGTGTTTCTCCTCCAGAAGGTGTAAATGAAGGACACTGTTCTCCAGCAGCCTTTGCCATGGCCTTAAGGTCAGCCAAAGGCCTTCCTTCTGCAACACCATACTTCTGTAAGAGGCAAGTTAGAGATACAGTTCAGCCAGCCACATCAAATCTTCAGTTCTACTTTCAATGCAACCATCTTAAGAGATTTGTTTTCTTGGAACTTATTTATCATGTTCAGACTTAACTAACTTTCATATTTTATCCCAGCAGTGAGGGACTGTTATTTAGGTTAAAAATAGATATGTGTACGATAGGTAGAAATGCTATCATGAATAGCATCTTATTTAAAAGGGTAACATTCAAAAGTTACCTCAGGCCTGATCTTTGACTGGAGATTATTTTCCTATATCTGACACTCAACATAAAAATATTACAACTACACTGCAAGCATCTTTGTATTCCAGCATTCAAGATGATAAACTCCATTTACTTTTCACCTGTCCGTAGCAAGACTAAAGGGATTTTTCCCCCCGAAAGTAAAATACTTCTATCTACAGACCTCTGGAAAAAAATACAAAACAAACAAAAAAACACCAAAAAGCCCCACAACCTCCAGAGACTGTCCACTTAAGAGTTGTTTTAAAAGGAAGAAAAAAAACCTGCAAGTACTCCATCTATTAAAAATAAACAATAGCCTCTTCTTTTGTCAGAGATTGGGGCAGGGGAAATAATACTGGTGTGGACAGTGTTACAAGTGTATGTGTCAGCGACAGCTTTAAAGAATGATAATGGTGTCCAGAAATAGGCAATTAACTATTTTCACTGATACACTTTTTTCCTGAGATATAAACCTTGCATGTGAGAGGTTCTAACTGAAATAGTAACAAACAATATACACAAACTATGCATCTGGAACACTCTTGAAAAAACAGAAATCACATTATAAAAGATAAATTTTATGGTCAATAATGTATTTTAGAAGATAGTTACACTTGGAGGTGTATTACCATTCTTTTAACCTTTTAAGATCTTTCCAAGATCTGTTTGTCACTGCTAAAATTTAAGAAGCCAGATTGTCTATTACTAGAAATTTTTCTACTAGTCTTTGTGCTAATGGAAAGGTATGAATAGCTTAAAAAGTCCAGATCAATTTGTGCCATGAAGACAAGCAAAGATAGGCAGAAAGAACATGTCTTTCATTTTATGTGTTTAGAAAAATAACCTTTTCATTTATTTAATATTTACCTCTACACATAAACCTTGTCTTACATGTATCCTTAGAGCATCACTGTTATACCACCATTACTAAATATAGCCTTTGCTTCAGCAATCCATACTTGAGCAAAAGTAATTCTATTGCCTTATTTAAAGAGTTCAAACAATTAAAAGACATTGCTACTACAATGACACTACTAAACCAACTTTTTACTAACTCAGGAATCTATCATCTCTAACTCACACTCTCAAGTTGATCATTATTAAAAACAAATTCTTATAGCACTTACTCTCTCACGAAGTCTTGCATCATGCTTGATTTCCAAGTCTTGGCAAAACCTATTTTTTCCTATAATTATGGCAGCAGTCTAAAAAGTGAATATTATACAGTTACAAACTGTTTTCCCATAGGATATCTATACCATCTTAGAACACCACAGCAATCATCAAGTTAGCCTTTATCACTTCCTTTGCTTTAAAATTTCCTTACTCATAGAGGTCATCTTGAATTCTACCTAAGACCAACTTTAGTTTTAAATCCAACAAAATTGCTTTTAGCTCTCCTTCACCATAATATTTGCAGCAATAGTAAATAAATGTAAAACAAACCAATGCTTACATCCAGTCACTTCAAGAAGCACTTGCCTGCTTTGCTCGAAGGAGGTCACTTGAAAAGACATGGGTAAATTCCACATTACTGAGAAACACACCAGCAGCATCTGCTTGTCTGAAACCAGTATGAGAGAGGGGCTCATCCACTCCTTGACCTGTAAAATAGAGATTCATCAACATTAAGATATCTAAATTTTAAATGATCTACCAGCTGAGCAAGCATGATAATAGAAAAAAATCTGCTCAGCACAAAAAAAAAATTCCTTCTCCAGCAGACACGTAATAGTGAAAATGACTGTTCCTCGGGCCTTCACTGATTTTAATCATACGAATGGAGTGGAAAAAAAAAAAAAAAGATATGTGAGCTGGCAAGTCAGAAAGATTGATGCACATGAGAAAGTTACTCATAATGCAGAGGCCTTCATTTCCTACATGTGAGCAATCATTTTAAGTCACTTAAGCTTTTTAGAATAGTCTCTGGTAGGCTAAAGGAGTCTCACAGTTTTGTAAGGGGGAAAAAGAAAAATCCACACACAAAGAAGCCTGTCTACTATTAAAAAAGAACAGAAAATTGAGATGTTGCTTATACTAAAATGTACCCAGGAAGAAACACGCACAGCAAGAGTCAAGCTCTTAAGAAATTTGAAATGTCTGTTCCTTCCCTCTGCATAATATTGACAATGCCTTAAAAAGAAGGAGACAAGAAACTTCCCTTTGTCACGCTGTTTCACAACAATTTTATAGTTGATATAAAGGGTCTGTTACAGTCTCTACTTCTTACAACACCCATGCAATTGGATATCAAGTATCTATAGCAAATCTAGTTGCAAAGTAGCCCTTCAAAACATAGTCTTCAGATGGAGTAACTAGAATTAACTCACCACAAAGCTCTAAGGCAATTCTGAGAGAAGCTGCTATATGGCAATCCAACTTTAATGGCATAAAGGCTTGGTCCTGTCACTCAGAGGATCTAAAAGAACTTAGAATCATGGTAGAGTGACAAAATAACAAATTTCTAACAAATTTCTTTGTCCACACTCATTGTATATTTTACATTTGGAGGAAGCCAAATAACATATACTTCCCATCACATCCAAGCAACAAAAATAATTTTCACAAAGAAAAATACAAAATGATTTATAATCTTAAAGTACCATGAGATATGATAACAGAAGTCTAGGTTAAGAGGAAGCCTACTATGCATCATCTGACAAACAAAAGTAGCACTATTAGTACTTTTAAGATCATGAAGCTTTATTCGCTTTATTAGGAACACAAAGGCCACATTGCAAAAACAGTAATTTGAAATGTCAAAACAGAGGTAGGATAATCTAGAAGCATAACTTTCTCACAGTCTGTAGCACTGCAGATGATTTAGAGCACAATCTCATTAGGTTCCTCAGTCTTCCTACAGCAGACACCAAACAGCTCAGATATTTTTAATTCTAGGTGTACTAAGTCAGCAATCACTACATAAAAGGCTGTTTTAAAGCCTTTGTCTAAAGACAGTTTACATAGAATGAGGAAGATTACTTCAAGCATTTTAAACAATCCTCACTTTTTATACTTCCTTGCTCTACTTCAGTTTTCTGCAAGGAAGAGATTACCTTTTCACAGAAACAACCTCCTTTACAGTATAATCACCGATCAACCCCCTGTAGCTTCCTGCCAACTCTGGTCACTGTATACGTACCTGGCTTGATTTTTGCCAGAGCTGCACCACTCCTCATCTGAATCCCAGAAGCCCTTTTTGGCTTCATACAAACCACTAAGACTTAACGCAGTGCTGTGTGTTATTCCAGCATCCTTAATAAGGGATGCTTCCACTGTTTTATTTGTTTACAAACAGTTCTTTTCTCCCTTTTTGGGAAAAGGAAGTATTCTAATATTCCTGACATTACCATAAGTACACAGCTATTTCTAGTTATTTTAAGAAAATTGGTTTATCAGAATCACTGTAATTCATTACAGTTATGAAGATAAGGTACTGGCTTGCAAATAATGACTCTTAAGGTATATTAAGTATTATTATTGATTATAATGTATGTCATCTGTTCATTATGGGAGTTCTCACCTTGCAGGGAAGCATCATTTTACCCTTCTAACACGCTAGTAGCATGACTGATACTAACCTTGCAGTATCTTGTCTTTGTTGTATCTTGTTTCTCCACTGAAAGAGATTACAGACAAAAACAAAACTTCACTCAACATTTTTAGTCCAAGTTCAAAAATGATTATTAGAGTAGATACAAACAAGAGATGGTAGAGTTGAAATATAAAAAATGGGCACATCACAGCCTCTTTTCAAAAAAAGGTATTTGAAGACAAGAAAAGTATTTTCAAGTGTCAAACCCAATCACACTTACAATATTTACTAAAATAAACAAGTCCAAAACAAAAGGAAGCAACTGCTTAAATAATGAGGCAAAATTATCATTAGATCACTAATCTATATTGAAGGGGGACATAAAAAGGAGGAACTGTAGTCGTCTATGTTTTAAAAAAAGCAATACATGATGTACAAGATACAGCAGCAGACAGATTACAAATCTTGAACTAACAAAGTTTAAGATAACAAAACTATGAACTACTAGAAGAAACACAACTTTCTTTGGGAAGTAAAATACTCCATTTTGAAAACAAGAGTACTTCAGGAAAAGAGCAACTAAAACATTTTGCGGATATATCTAACGAGGAAAAATTTAACAACTAAATTTGACAAGAATAAAGTTAAGAATACAGATGTCACTGAGACTGTTGCATGAATCACAAGTCAGCTCCCTGAGTTTCTGCCATATAAAGACCAAACTTGTAACTTTCTTTTTAAAGGGAGAGCTATCAACACTGCAGGACAGAAGCCCCCAAGATGAGTACCAAATAGAAAATTGATCAGAACAAAAACCCCACCATTTTCCAAAACACACACAAAAAAGTTTTTCAACCCTCTCCTGAACAGCATGCAGACAGCTCCTCAGGCTCTGCCCACGTCTTGAACAACTCCTTCCATGTTCCAGAGGAAAATACAGCAGACTGGATAGAATCTTTCCTATTGGGTGGAGGGAGAAACATGCACATTTCCTGAATAGCACTAGTATTGGCTAGCATACCCAGGCAGAGTCTAAGTTATCACATTTGATTGAACTCCCACCCATTTTCTATTAGATGAATTTTGGAACTTTCTTAAGTGCCTGTGGAAGTCTCATTTGAAGATTTAAAATGTAACAAGTTTTCAGCCTTCTATGTTTTCTAGCTGAGCTAGAAGGCTGCAAATAGAACAGCAAGTCACCAAAGTCAAATCTTTAAGGAAAGCCAAAGTTGCTCTTAATAATAATAATAATAATAATAAAGGAATATAGAAATTGCTGTTTCAGTAGTACTAACCAAGTATTAAACTGCATTATACTAAAGGAAATATAGCTTTCATTAAAAAGGCAGTCAGTCAGTTGTTATCAATTGCAGCAAGATGAAATTGGGATTGTACATACATGGAGAAATAAACAGAGAGAACTAGTCAAGAAGACTGATGATCTTTGTCAATATCCACTGTAGCTTTAAAGAAAACAACAACAACAACAAAACAAAAACTAACCATATAGATTTTAAAGTCAAGGATATTGTTACTTTTAACATTTCACAGAAGAGACTAACCTTTCTAAGCAAAGGGTAGTCAGAGGGAAGGCAGAGATTACCATTCACCCAAACGTAGTGCTTTTGGCAGAGGAAAGGTCTTATGATCAATTACTTAACAGTTCATAAATAGCTCCTTCTAATTTTAGTACAACATAGTATTTCAATATTAATCTGTACTGCTATATCTAGACTTATCTTGATAGTGAACTAAAATACTCTAGAACAAAAATCAATAACTTAATAAGGTCTATTACCAAAGGCAGCTAAAAAGGCCTTCTAGGTCCAATATTTCCATGATCAAATTGAAGACAGGCAAAAATTATCATTAAAGCATACAGTGCTGGTTTTAGACTTTAAGAGTCTAAAAAATATTTCAGCTATTGATAACTGTAAAAATAACATGGCATCTTCACTTATCACATTTTGCTTTTGGAAGAACCGTATGTCCTTAGATCATAACTAAAGAGGTGAGCATTCCAAAGTCTTAAATGGTTGAGAAGGAAGATCACCAACACAGACAAGTGTCTTTTAATTGTTGGTCATGTTTTTGACTCAGCTAGATTAGTTATTTAGATGAGAATATGCCAGAGGAGATAATATAGCATATGGAAAGCACTGCTAAGGCTACAGTGTTAAAGATTTACAGCGTAAAGGTTGCAGTGCAGGGATAAGATCACCCTTCCTCATGCATTCAGGTTTTTTTCCACTTTAAGAGTGGAGAAAAGCCTCTAAGAAAATATTCCCACGCAACTCTGGCCACTGCACACAAATCCCACTACCAGAGATAGGGCCCGCCCGACACCCATGCAGAGCGGCCAGCGCGCCTAGGTTGTTAGGTGCCCATGGCTCAGTCCACGCAGAGCAGCGCCCGAGCAGCTAACAGCAGCCGGCACGCCGGGGAGCTCTGCGCGCGACGCTCCCTCCCGATATGGCGAGGGGAGGGGCAACAGCTCCTCGCTGGTGCTGTAGAACGGCCTCCGCGGGGAAGAGGGACCCGAAGAAAGCGGCGCAAGGCGCCGCAGTACTCACTGCCGCACGACGGTCAATCCGAAGCACGCCATGGCGCAGCACCACCCCCCTCGAAAAGGCACACGCGCGCGAATAAAGTCCTCGCGCGCCCGCCGGCTCCTTGTGCCGGCACTGCGACGCCCCGCCCCCCGCTCCCGCTTGCCTATTGGCCTCTCTGTGCCAGGTGATGTCATCGCCTCTGCCTGTCCCAAGGGGCCCTGGCAGCTGCGCTTGAGCCAGGCTGTCTGGGGTGCTGCTTCTGCGCCTTTGGGGATGTTGGTCCTGTGTTGCTTCTCTGACGCTGCGCAGTCGGTCCAGCAATCCCCTTAAGAAGGGAGTTGGAGAGAATAACGATGTACTTACTAGCCCTACTAACGACCCTACTTACTAGCTCATCGATTTGCGCTAATTTAGTGCGTCTGGGTGAGTATAGCTTGACGCCTACCTGAATGTAAAAGAGGCTTGTTAGAGGGCATCATCACCTCGATACAGACTCACTATCCCTCTTCCCCCATCCTGTGGCCGACACGCGGCATGAAAAAGAATCGGGTGCAGCAACAAGTTACTAGGTGTGCTGGATAAAGGCACTCCGGTGGAATGAATCCTTGAGACATCTGTTAAGTATTCTGTCTTCTATAAGGGATTTCACAAAAGTTTCATTAGTATACATGAAAAAATGGTTATTAATATTTGTGGAAATCTCATTTCCAGAGTAAAAGTGATTTGATTCACAAAGAAAGCTCTATTTAATGCCAAATGCTTGCTTCAGCTATGAAAATACTTTCTGTAGGACTCTCCTTCATATCAAAACCTCCCTTCATCCATTCCAAAAGTTCATCACGATGAGAAGCAGATGCTCAAATGTACTTGTCTGCTTTCCTAAATGGTGTTTTTTCTCCCATTAAATATCTTTGAGTGCATGGATTCATCACCTTCATATTTGGCAGAAAGTGTGGGACAGATGCAGCTTGAAAATGTGCTTTGCAGAAGTATGTATGCTGTGCAGCTCTAAGTGACTGCATCTAGTGTGGCGTGTGCATTGCACCGATTAACTGCACCCCTCCCCCCAAAAAATGTATTTAGAATATTTACTTTTTAAAATGAAGATTTTTCTTCGTATTCTTGGGAAATAATAAAGAAGAATAGGGGTGCGACAAAAACAAAAAGAACTGAGAAAATATTATTCTGTTACTTTGTCCATTTTGCTGGCAGTGTCAAAAAACAGTGTGATCATTACCATCATTGACTATTAGAAATCACTATTAGCAAAATGATTAAACAGTTTTAATTTTTTTCCTCAGAAAGCTCATCTAGATAAGGTTTTATCGATTTTGGACAATCTGATTAACTAATCAAAATATTATTTGTTCAGATAGCTGAGCATATTTCCTTTCAGATTTCACAACAGGATGGAATAAATACCATCCAAAAATCAGTCAGTTGTGAAATTCTGGGTTGCCCAGAGATCTGTCCTAACTTGTTTTCACAGCTGAAAATTATGAATCAAAATTAAAAGATAATCAGCAGTTTAAAACACATGATAAAGTTTAAATACAGTAGTGGGTCTGTTCAATTCCCTTTTTATCATCCTTTGACAGTGTGGTACAACATTGTATTTCTATAGTGCTTCCCTTCTACAGCTTTCAGAAGTAACATTTTCAAATGTAGGAATTAATGACGCAACTAGCTTTTAAATGATCTAGTGCCAAATGACTCAGCTCTAATCTTTCTGTTGTATCACCATTAAAAACAACTGCATTTTGCTATGATGATAAGCCCCTAGCTGTTTTTTAGGCATGTTTTAAAAGTATATGAAACAAATGTGAGTTAAGAATGTTAGCATTTATAATCTTATCAGTGCATCTTTTGTTATAAAGTGCTCTGCCATAGCAACAAATCTTCAGGCAAAGAAGTTTTAAGAGACTTTGACATCACGCAATTCATTTTTGTGAGTGAGAGCTTGAAAGGCCTGCCATTTCTGATTTGTAGCCTTTTCTTTGACTATCAGATTATGTTTTCTCTGTTTGCTCCTGTCTTCTCCTTCATTGTGGTGGTATGGGTAACTTTTTTCCTGATTGTTTCACCCTTCTTACTTTTCATTTCTTCTTCTTCATAATTTCACGGATCTGTCAGTCCATATTGATGAACCTATTTTTTAATTAACTCACTAAAACAAATGTTTATAGAGTATAGCTGCTAACACAAGACAAGCTCATTTAAGGATGAATAGTTTGAAGAAGTCATCCTACGGAAAAGTCTTTTGTGGAGCTGAAAATGGAAAAATTTCAAATGGCAAAATTTTATTCAAAGGAAGTTTTGAAACCTGAATAATTTCAACTAACCAGTAAAGTCATCACTGTATGTGGATTGCATATCATTAATGTCCGACAGTATTAGGAATCCAGGGAAAGTCCACATCGAGCAACAGTTAACAGTTTATATTTAGAAATATAAAATAGAAGCCATAAGATGGGCAGTGTTCTCTGTAGATGACTTGTTATTTCAGCATTTCATTCCTTCCAGGTCTTAGAAACATATCAACCCAG